TGGGTGCCAGTTTTCTGCACAGTCCTCCGCCCTCCCCATGGTGCCTGCCTCATTTCTCCTGGTTGTTTGGTCCCTGCTCTGGGGACACAGGGGCTTAAGCAGAGTCCAGTCAAGGCAGAATCCCCAATGCAGGGTGGCTGAGTTTGTCTGCCTCTCTGTTCATGCTCTGCTCTTTGCCCCCCTACACCTCCACCCCCGCTTACTGCCTCTATACCCTTTCCCCAAAGCCTCTTCTGCCTCTGCCTGGGGCACATACTGTCTCTCCTCTATGCACCCCTCCCCCTGACCTCCAGGGCTCTACATTCCACGGCACCTCTGGTGCTATTTTAGGTGGGATTGTTTGTGCCATGATTCCTTGTCTCTTGTCCCCTCCTTTTCTGGCACCCAACACTAGTACATTCTGATATCTTCCCTTTTATGTCTTGCATTGGTGTTTGTGAAAAACAAGTCTTTATAATGTACCTTTAGAGCAATATCCATTAAAGCCAGGATCACACAACAAGAATGTAGTTGAACATCTGTGTGCTCTGCACTCCTAGACATTGGGAATGCCGTGGGGCCATAGATCTAGTTCTAGAAGAGGGATAGGGGAAAGAGGTGGATAGGCAATCACAGTGTCAGCCTCTTACTGCATCTGGAGAGGCAGGATCTTGCTTCCTTCAGTCCCCAAACCTGGAGGTGAGTTCTGTTTGCATTATGTGTTTGTGGGGCTCTGTTAAAAGCATTTCAGTGGAAAACCCCAGAGTTTGCAGACATCACCTGGACCCCCAGCATTTTTAGTAGAGACAGGGTTTCACCAAGTTGGCCAGGCTGGTTTCAAACTCCTGACCTCAGGCGATCTGCCACCTTGGCCTCCCAAAGTCCTGAGATTACAGGTGTGAGCTACTGCACCTGGCCAGGTAGTTGAATTTTGAGCAGGCAACTTGGAGGCCTGGGTATTATAGGTTGAGTATCCCTTGTCTGAACTGCTTGGGACTAGAAATGTTTTAGATTTTGGAGTGTTTACATATGCATAATGAGATATCCTGGGGATGGAACCTGAGTCAAAACATGAAATTCATTTATGTTTTGTATATACCCTACACAGCTTGAAGATAATTTTTTTTTTTTTTTTGAGACGGAGTCTTACTCTGTTGCCAGGCTGGTGTGGTGGCGCCATCTTGGCTAGCTGCAACCTCCGCCTCCGGGGTTCAAGCTATTCCCCTGCCTCAGCGTCCCGAGTAGCTGGGACTACAGGCTCGTGCTACCACACCCGGCTAATTTTTTTTTTTTGAAGATAATTTTATATAACATTTTAAGTAAGTTTATGTACAAAACAAAAGTTTGATTGCATTTTGATTGTCACCTGTTGCATGAAGTCAGGTGTGGAGTTTTCCACTTGTGGCATCATGTTGCTGCTCAAGAAGTTTCTGATTTTGGAACATTTTGGATTTTGGATTTTCACATTAGGGTTACTCAACCTGTAGTGATTTGTAGTGTGAGAGATTAGGCCACACAGCTTCCTGCACTGCTGCCTGGTGATCTGAACTGGGGCTCTGATTATTTTCTGTGAGGCCTTTGGAGGGGCCTGCACTAAGTGAGTCCGCACTGTTGGGCTCAGGGTGGAACATGACTGGTTGAGCCACCAGAGTTTGACAGCTTAAGGGCAGCTGTTATTTTATCTACAGAGTATATTAATATGTTAAAGATCTTTGGAAACGTACTTAAAAACAAAATGAAACCTTTCATTATGGAGGATTTTAAACAGAAAAATAATTTAGTGAACTCCCATCACTTAGCTTCAACAGTTTTAATTCTAGGCTCCCCCTACCTCGGATGATTTTAAAGCAAATCCTAGGATTCACTTTATTGGCAAATGCTTCAATATATGTCTCTCTAACAAAGAGTGGACTCTTTATAAACTTATTTTTAAGTGAAGAATGACCACCAGCCCTCCTAATTCTGATTCTCGTATTTCTGTGTTTGAAGCTGATTTTTTTCAGTTGTGGAATAATTATATTTACACAAAAGCTTGACTGATTTATTGATTGACTGAGACAGGGTCTTGCTTTGGCACCCAGGCTGGAGTACAGTGGCATGATCTCTGCTCACTGCAACCTCCGCCTCTTGGGCTCAAGCCATCCTCCCACCTCAGCCTCCTGAGTAGCTGGGGCTACAGGTGTGTGTCACCATTGCTGGCTAATTTTTTGTATTTTTTGTAGAGATGGGGTTTCACCATGTTGCCCAGCTCTAGCCTGGTCTTGAACTCCTGAGTGGAAGAGATCTGCCTGTCTGGCCTCCCAAAGTTCTGGGATTGTAGGCGGGAGCCACTGTGCCCACCCACCATGTTAAGGATTTAAAAGTGAACAATTCTGTGGCATGTGGTACATTTATAGTGTTGTGCAACCATCACCACTGTCTAGTTTCAGAACGTTTTCATCACTCCAAGAGAAAATGCACACTCATTAGGTAGTCACTCCTCAATTTCTGCAGCCCTTGGTATCCATTAACCTTCTCCCTCTCCATGGGGTTTTACCATTCTGGACATTTCATATAAATGCAGTTATGCTATATCTGACTTTTTGTATTGGCTTCCTTCACCTAGCATGTTTTCCAAGTTCATCCAAGTTTTAGTATCTATCTACACTTGATTTATTTTTATGACCAATAATATTCTATTGTATGGATATACCACAGTTTATTTACTGGTGGACACTCAGGTTGTTTCCACCTTTGACTATTGTGAATAGTTGCTTTTCTTTTTTGTTTTGAGACAGGGTCTCACTCTGTCATCAGGCAGGAGTGCAGTGGTGTGACCATGGCTTATTGCAGCCTTGACTTCCTGAGCTCAGATGATCCTCTCACCTCAGCCTCCTGCGTAGCTGGGGCTGCAGGCCTGGCTAATTGTTGTATTTTTGGAGAGACAGTGTTTCAGTGTTGCCCAGGCTGGTCTTGAACTTCTAGGTTCAGGTGATCTCCCTGCCTCAGCCTCCCACAATGCTGGGATTACAGGTGTGAGCCACTGTGCCTGGCCAGTAGTTGCCATTTTAATTTAACTTGTCATTGCTTAATTTGAAATGTGGTGATATGCTTCCTGGATCAAAAAGAAAATGTCACATGTGAGAAGGAAAGAGAGTGATTTACTCTTGACTCTCTTTATTGCAATAAACACATTTTGAAAGAATTTATAACAGTCAGTCATAGTGGCTCATACATGTAATCCCTGCACTTTGGGAGGCTGAGGCAGGATCAGTTGAGGTCAGGAGTTTGAGACCAGCCTTGCCAACATACCCTGTCTCTACTAAAAATACAAAAATTAGCCAGGTATGTTAGTGTATCCCTGTGGTCCCAGCTACTTGGGAGACTGAGGCAGGAGGATCACCTGCACCGGGAGGCAGAGGTAGCAGTGAGCCAAGATTGTGCCACTGTACTCCATCCTGGGTGACAGCAAGACTCTTATCAGAAAGAGAGAGAGAGAGAGAGAACGAGAACTTACAACTGAAATATAGTAAACATAACAGAGTTCATGCCTGTAATCCCAGCACTTTGGGAGGCCGAAGTGGGTGGATCACTTGATGTCAGGAGTTTGAGACCAGCCTAGCCAACCTGGTAAAGCCCTGTCTCTACTAAAAATTAAAAAATTTGGTGGGCGTGGCGGTGCACTCTTGTAATCCCAGTTACTTGGGAGGCTAAGGCAGGAGAATCCCTTGAACCCAGGAGGCAGAGGCTGCAGTGACCTGAGATGCCACCACTGCATTCCAGCCTGGACGACAGAGTGAGATTGTCTCAAAATAAATAAATAAATAAACATAACAAAAACTGTACTGCATATAATGTTAGTACGTAAGGTACTCAGAGGCCTCTTCTGATTGTTTCTGGTGACCATTAAGCCTGCTTAACAGACTGCTAGTCTGATGGGCAACACTGCTGCAGGTATGAGGATGAGCAGTGGCCTTTCTGAGCACTGGAATGGAGGTGGGTGATCAGCAGTCTCTGGGACTTTGCCCTACTCCTGAGTTACAGGGACAGACTTCTGTTTTCATGGGAGTCATTAACAGAGGAGCTTGTTTTCCTGGATACCAAGTCAGTGCCTTTATTAACCTCAGTGACACAGGAAAAGAGTCTGTGCCTTTGTCTTATGTTTGCATTGTCCTGACTGCATCGTTGTCAGTATGGAAGATGAAGTGGATTTGGTAGTGTGTTTTACGTGCAGGGGACTGGTTCCAGTTAAGAGTATGTTTCCAGCTAAGAGTTAGAGAGAGGGCAGCCCCTACTGAGTAGCCAAGTACTGACTGGTGGGCACCCTTCTCAAGGGCTACTTCTGTGGAACTGTGCTTTGAGAGATGCAATAAGAAGTGGCCTTTGCCACGTCTTTGGTGGTTATGGTCGCAGCGTTGGGGCTCATACTCCGCTGCATCATGGCGTATGTCCTCTTGTGGAGGGTTCGAGGGAGGCATTTATCTCAGGCCCAGGACAAGGAGAATCGTCTCTAGTGAATCTGGTTTGTTTTTTTATCTTGTGGACAGTGTGAATTCTCTGGCTACCAGGAAGCTCAGTTCAGAGCCATCATTTCCCTGCTGTAGTGTGACCTGCACTTTGGGTTCTAACCTGGTCTTCTGGCTCAACGCCTCCACCCCTTGTTTCCTTATTTATTGCTTGAGTTTCTTCATTTACTTGTTTTTTTTTCCCTTTCTTTCTTTGGATTTCTTTAAGCCAGTGATTCTCAACTTTGACTGTACTTTAATCAGCATCCTCTGGGGAGAGTTTTTTTTTTTTTTTAAGTGCAAGTGCTTGGCCCCCACCCCTTCTTTTACCTTGATTGGATTGATTTTTTTTTTTTGAGACAGAGTCTTGCTCTGTTGACCAGCTGGAATGTGGTGGCTTGCTCATAGCTCACTGCAGCCACCAGCTCCTGGACTTAAACAATCCTCCCTCCTCAGCCTCCTGAGTAGTTGGGATTACAGGTATGTTCAACCACATGCGGCTAATCATTTATTTATTTATTTATTTATTTATTTTTTAAGTGTGAGAATTAATGATTTATTGTCACCCAGATGGCAATTGGATTTATAGTCTTTATACTTTACATTTTTTGTAAATTAAAAAAAAGACAAGTTTTAAATAGCCACTGCTGGTTATGTTTTCAGAAAACATGACTAGACTAATTCATTAATGGTGGCTTCAAGCTTTTCCTTATTGGCTCCAGAAAATTCACCCACCTTTTGTCCCTTCTTAAAAAACTGGAATGTTGGCATGCATTTGACTTCACACTCTGAAGCAACATCCTGACAGTCATCCACATCTGCGGCATCCAAGGCTTCCTGAAAAGCATCCTTGCTGTCGATCTGCTTGACCATCTTGGCTGCTAGGGTCTGACGAGCAGCTGTTAAGACCGATGGAAACGGATCCAAAGCACCGAACCGAGTTCATCATTTATTTATTTTTAGAGACAGAGTCTCATTTTGTTACTCAGGCTGATCTTGAGCTCCTAGCTTTAAGCAATGCTTCTGTCTCGGCCTCCCAAATTGTTGGTGTGACAGATCTGAGCCACCATACCCAATCCCTCCTGTTTTCATTGTTCTGGGATGGGGCCTGAGCAAAAATGTTTCCAGAGTTCTCTAAAAACTGGATGTGATGGCCTATACCCATTATGCCAGTTACTCAGGAGGCTGAGATGGGAGAATTGCTTGATCCCGGAAGTTTGAGACCAGCATGGGCTACACAGCAGGACTCTTTCTCAAAAAAAAAAAAAAAAAAAGAAAAAAAAAATTAAAGATTTGAATGTGTGGTGGGGTTTGAGAACTACTGCTTTAGGCCATTTGATGTCTTATTAGCATCAGGACAGGGATAAGTAATCAAAAAGGGTGGAGTCTGGGAGGATAGCGGAACCAAAGGCCAGTGGTATGAGCTCAGAGAAGCATCATAAAGGGGATTATATAGCTTCCAGTGGTTTTCGGCTGGTGGCACCCAGTGGGAAAGCTCTGAGGGGCTCCTCTCCTTATCTAGAACCACAGGAGAGAGGCTCAGCTCCTGGTCCAGGGTGGGCAGGAGCAACTTAAAATTTAGCTGTGAAGTCCATGGGCCTGTCTAATGGTGGCACAGCTTTGTCACAGGGTCTTCTGGGCCATTCAGGACCCAAGTCCCACACTTGGAGCCTGATTTATGCTTAATACCATTTACTGTATAATGTGAAATGTTTCTTTAAACAAACTGAACCCTAATTTCTCCCTTCCCCCTCAAAAAAAAAAAAACACCCTAGATTTTCCTTTAGCTATTTTGTCTTTGAACAGAAATCTTGCTTTTTCTCCCTTGTTCGCCCCCTGATAATCAGTAGTTTTCAAAGATTGTATAAAAGTCAGGTCTACCAAAACAGGCTATATGCAAGATGGTGTTTGCAGGGTGCATTTATTTTTTGTACCAGGTCCCATGGAGATTGTTTAGGATGCCTGTTTTAATGGTCATCAGAGAAGATTTGGAAAGTATGCCTAAGTAGGAAGGAACAAACTAGAACCTGACCTATAGCCTTAGAACCTATCGGTTAAGTCCTAGTTTGGTCTGTTATCACTGTTAATATTTTCTCTCTTTTTTTTTTTTGACACGGGGGTCTCACTCTGTTGCCCAGGCTGGAGTGCAATGGCTCATTGAAGTTGCTGCCTCTCAGGTTCAAGTGATTCTCCTGCCTCTACCTCCTGAGTAGCTGAAACTATAGGAACGTGCCACCATGCCTGGCTGATTTTTGTATTTTTAGTAGAGACAGGGTTTTGGCATGTTGGCCAGGCTGGTCTCTAACTCGTGACCTCAGGTAATCCACCTGCCTTGGCCTCCCAAAGTGCTGGGATTACAGGTGAGCCACCACGCCCGGCCTGCTTTATTTTCTCTAAGTAGATTGTGTTTGTTTAGTACTCAGGGGTCTTTATGGTTTCTGTAACCATCATGGGATGGCTGAGAGCTTTCCCTTGACTGGCTATGCTGGGAAGAGGTCAGCTGCCCACTGTGATTTGTTTTGTATTCAAGGAAGCTTTTGGTCCTGGTCTCCCATGCTCCAGGTGGTAGGTGTCTGCAATCCGTCAGAAGCTTTGGGAGGCCAGGAGGGAGCTGTTTGGTAGGGGAGAGGCTTTGTTGGACTAATAGGGTATGTTGTTGTTGTTGAGACTGAGTCTGGCTCTGTCGCCTGGAGTGCAGTGGCATGATCTTGGCTCACTGCAACCTCTGCCACCCAGGTTTAAGCAATTCTCCTGCCTCAGCCTCCTGAATAGTTGGGATTATAGGCACCCGCAACTGTACCCAGCTAATTTTTGTATTTTTAGTAGAGACAGGTTTTCGCCATGTTGGCCAAGCTGGTCTCAAACTCCTGACCTCAGGTGATCTGCCTGCCTCGGCCTCCCAGAGTGCTGGGATTACAGGCAGGAGCCACTGCACCCGGCGATAGGGCGTGTTAACCAGTTAGGTGTGGGTAAGGGAAGAGGAATAAACACTGACTCAGGTGACTGCTGGTGCTGGTGCTGGTGCTGGTTCTGATGCTGAGACAGTGTGGCGAGAAACTGGCCTGGTGGAGAAGATGATTTCAGGGCCAAATAATGGGACCAAAGATTGCTAGTCCTGAGTGCACTTCAGAGACTTCCAGAATGGGGCAGAGACACTTAATGTTCTCTGGGCTTCAGTCTCCCCTACATGAGAGAGTGGAACTAAATAGTCTCCAGGTCCTTCCCAATTCCAGCGTGCTTTGATTCTGTCTTTTAAGACTCTTCTGTTGGGTGAGAGTTGCATTCCTGCTGGCAGCTGTTTGGTTGTTTCTGAGTGTGTTCTTCTCTCTTTGGTGACATTGGGTTGGGTTGACAATGGGAAATTGGCAGTGGGTGTTAGTATATTCTTTCCACACAGTTTATTGCCTCTCTTTTCAGGAATTTTCAGAAGGGAAAACAGGCCAGTTCCTCAGGAAATATGTTTGCCTGAGTCTTAGCAGCTAACTGCAGTTTAACTTAGAGAGCTAGTCTAGGCTGTGGGGTCAGACAGGTCACTTCAAGGTGACCCATGACATGCCAGTGTCTAGTAGTTTTCTTCTGGGTGCCCTTGGCATTGACACTGCATGTAGACAGCGTGGTTTGTGAGTCCCTGTGAGCAGGGTTCCCATAAGGGAAAGGTCCCTGGATCTCTGCCCAGCAGTGTTGGGCCCACCTGACTGGTCGCAGAGCCAACCCCAGTCTTCCCACAGGACTGCAGCCACGGGGTAGGACTGCTGTGTCAGTGAGTCTAGATGAGGGCCTGCCACGTATGTGGCTCAGTACACATCGGAAGTCTGCATGTGTGTGCCACATCATATTAACAACTGGTGGATATTAGGGAAATCCATTTAATAGAAATTTAAAGGCTACTGTGAAGGAATTTTTTTTTTCCATTTGGAAGAAAAAAAATCAGTTTAGAATTTGGAACAGAGAAACAAGTGTTACCTGCCTTAGAAGAAAAACATTCTATAACATAGTGGCTGCTTAATCAAGATCTTGGAAATTTGTCATTTTTGAAAACTGCCCTGTAAGGCTTGTGGAAATACAATTTGGATCCACTAGCTTCAGATTTTTCTCCTTTGGTAGGTGATAGGGAAACATGGTTTTGCTGCTTTTTCATCAAATGTGAGAGTTGTAGCTCATTGATCTGGCATCTTTTGAGAGTTGAGTCTTTTTAGAGGGAAATTCCCTGACTGACGAATCTCTTCCCTTTAGGGGATCAAAACTTTTCATCTTTGCTTGCAGCTTTTGTGTTTTTCTCTTTTACACTCTCCCTGTTCCCTGATTAAATGAAGGCCACGCTTGACCGGTTTCAGGGAAAAGGCTAAGGGTGCCTGGAGCAAGGTGGGTGGGACTTTGTTCACAGATGGGCCTTGAGAGAGTGACCCCTCCCTCCTAAATGCCCAGAGGAAGGGATTGACTTCATCATGGACATTCCACCTTCCTGCTTTGGCCTGTGGCCTTTCTTCACTTGCTTTTCCTCATTTTGCTTGGAATGTGCTTTGCCTGTTGCATATCCACCTCATCTGCCCCCTTGCACGCTCCATGGCTGGCCTAAAAGCTCAGTCTGCTGTCCTGTGCCCTTTAGACTTCCATGATAGGATTATCATCTGTTTCCACGCTCCCTGTGGACTGTGTCGCTGGAGCACTTTGCAGATGGGGACCATGTCTGATTGGCCTCCATCCTTCACCGCCAGCCCAATGCCTGGCAGGTAGCAGGAGGGCGGGAGCTGAAGAAAAGGCTTGCTGTACAAGTGGATGCCAGGAGCTCTGGTTCTTCCCTCCTTGAATCTGCCACCTTATGATGGGAGGGACACAGATCTGCTCAGGGGTGTGCTGGGTTTGTGCATGATGCTTTGGGCAGCCCACGGGAGAGGGCCAGGAGGAAGGAAACCCCGACCAGAGTGGATAGCAGGCTGGATGGGAACATGGACAGTGGGGGAAGCATTGAAGGCCATTTGCAGCCTTCCAGGTATGAAGCTGGAGGGGCCTGGAAGAGAGTACAGTGAGGGGCATGATCTCCGCTTATTGCAACCTCTGCCTCCCAGGTTGAAGCGATTCTCCTGTCTCAGCCTCCTGAGTAGCTGGGATTACAGGCATGTGCCACCATGCCCAGCTAATTCTTGTATTTTTAGTAGAGATGGGGTTTCACCATGTTGGCCAGGATGGTCTTGATCTCTTGACCTCGTGATCCACCCGCCTCGGCCTCCCAAAGTGCTGGGATTACAGGCGTGAGCCACCGTGCTCGGCCCCATTCTAGTTTTTCTTAATGCAAGTACAACAAACATAAATTGTATGTTATTTCTTTCTTTTCGGTAAATGAAAGATAGCATTCTGTGTATACTGTTTTGCACCTTATGCTTATTTTTTAAATTTATCCTGAGATTTTTCCGTGTCAGTGCATGGAGAATCCTTGCCATTCTCTCTTTCAGCTGTGTTGTATTGTGAAGTCGTCCCTATTTGAATGCTCACCCCGAGGAACGGGGCCTGGCCGTTTCCAGCTTGCCATTTCATGACATGCCGGCAATAGTTGTCTCACTGCATGTCATTTCCCACATTGGAGTCGTCCTGCAGGGTGGCATCCTGCAAGCACATTGCTGAATCAAAGGGGAAACACAGTTGTAATTTTGACAGCTTTTGCCCAGTTGCCCTCTACAGAGGTTGTCCCATGTTGCGCTCCTACCGGCAGTGTTGATGCCTGATTTCCCACGGCCTTGCCAACAGAAAGTTTAGTCAAATGCTTGGAGTTTTGCCAGCCTGACCTTTGTAAATAATATCTCAATATAGTTTTAATTTATATTTTTCTGAAGCGGAACTGATCATGTTGTCATGTGTTTAAGGACCATTTATAGTTTTCTGTTCTTTGATTTTTCTCTTGGGTTATTGTTTTTTTTCTCAATTTCCATGAGCTGTTTTTTAT